TATTTTTATATGTGATATACATATCTCATACAAAATCGAAGGACTCAATCAAACTTGAAAATAAATCTTTTAATTGCTAAAATATTCGAGTTATATTTTACAACTCGATTTGAACTTGAAAATTTTTCGAGTCAAGTCGAGTTTATGAAATTGCAACTCGAAATCAATTCTAGTCGAGTTTTTTCAAGTTGAAAAAATCGGTTTGTCGACTCGAGTTTTGCTCACCCCTAGTTAACAAACGATTAACATTCTAAAATAAGGTTCATTTTTACACTAAAATGAAACATTGGAAACCTAAATACTCTAAGAAAATACACGGATAAAAGTGACTATTTAGTCAAACGCTTCTTTTTCCTTAAAATGAAATGTTGGGAGTTAAAGTACTAAAAAATAGAATAAAGACAGAAAATAACCATTTTAATAAATATTGGGGGACTAATTTTGACTTTATACCTAAAGATTTATCTAACATAATTTGTATATATATTTTAATTTTAAAACATAATAACTATATATTTAAAGTGATCTAGAAAAATATATCAACTAGACCAATAAATTTTTTTAACGTAATTTATACATACTTTTATTTAAATATTATATATATTTAATAAAAAGTTATATGTGTGTGTTAATATTTTTGGGCATGGGGTGAGCCATGGTGTACCATCCTAAACACCGGGTTAGTGGCCAAATTGTAAAACATCAGAATTTAGTGAATAAAGTAGATAAATTGAATAGTTCAGGGACTTATATGGAAAATCTGTGTAAGATTAAATAGCAAAGAAGGATGAATAGAAGGGCAAAATGGTCATTTGACCAATAAATTAATTAAAAATGTGATATGATGGAGATATATACACGTGGAGATATGTAGAGGAGAAAAGAAAGATTTTCTAGAGTTCTCTTCATCATTCTTTCTTCTTTCAGTCGTGAACCCCAAAATTACCAAGGTGAGTTTCTTGTTAGTTGGTTATTCATTGAAATTAAGTTTGGTTTACGTTCTTTGAGTAATACTTAAGTTTAAGGAAAGCTTAAGTTGTCTTAAAATCAAAAGATGAAGAAGTTGGGATAGATTAAAGATGAGAGGGTTATAAGGGAAATCTTGAGAGAGAGTTAGTAAGTAAAGTTTGAAACTAAATTTGACTTTTCATTAGCTAAATTAAGAAGTATGAAGTGTTAGGATTGAAGTTAGAACATGTTGGAAAATTGGTAGGATTCTTAATTTCAATATATAAGATGAGATTTTGAAGATAATGATGGTTTATATGGGTATAAGTTGATTAAAGTAAGGGTAGTTGAGTTTAATGACATGTTAGGGGCTTAAAATGTAAGGTTTATATTGGTATGGGTGAATTTTCGGGTTTAAAAAGTGAATTATGGGCTATGAGTATTCGTACTGCTTCATCCAATACCTATACTTCAAAGGTTAATGAATGAAATTTAGAGTAGGGGTAACAATACCGGTTTAACAGTATCGACACCATAAGCTCGAATTTGACAATTTATTCATGAGATATCGATACTTGAAGGGCAGTATCAATACCAAGGGTATCGATACCATAAGATCAGTATCGGTACCATTTTTTAAACAAGGATTACAAAATCAAAAATGGGTATCGATACCTAGGCTTGATATCGATACTACAGTTAGGAAAGTATCGGTACCATACCTTGGGTACCGATACTACTTAAAGTGGAAAATGTAATTAAGCCTTTCTTTTAGCTTAAGATATTAAGGATTGAATTATAATGCTTAGGATTCTAATATGCATATTAAATGTATGATTATGTAGATATCGAGCATAAGCAAGTTCCAGAACAATTGAAGAGTTAAAAACGGTCGAGAGAGAGATAAATTCATAGAATTGATTCGAATCAAGTGAGGCTAAAGTGAGTGCATACCATAATAGTATAGATGTTGTTTTATGGAAATAAGACTTGTGATAAGTCTATTTCCTATATTTGATTTCATGATTTCATATTCATGTACATGCATATGTTATGATTGTAATGAGTACATGCATAACTCATACATGCTTTAATATGATATAATATGTGATGTATGCAACCAGAAGAGAACAAATCCAAGTTATATGTTATAACACAACTGATCATATGTGTACATGTGAAGTATGGGATGTGTTTATATGAGAAATGATAGAAGAGATATGAAAATGTGAAATGTATCCATATTTAAGCCCATGTTATGTGATATGAGAGTTGTAGGTATAATTGGCATGCCAAGAGTCGAGGGTTCTATGTGGTCATTCGGGATATATATGTAATCCTTTGGAACATATATGCGGTTCTTCGGGAAACATATTTGGTCATTTGGAATATATATGTGATCCTTAAGGAGTGGTCCTTCGGGTCATTTACGTGGTCCTTCGGGACATATATATGGTCATTTGGGACAAGTTATATGTGCTCCTAGTGGGAATTTATACGAGCTATGGTGATAGCATATGTGCACAATCTCAATGTACTCATGTACCTTAGGTTCTCAATAATGTACATGGGCCCCCAAAAGATAAACCGAATTAAACACCTCATAAGATGATATATTTCATTTATGCATTTCATGATTATGCATGTTATAATTGAGTAAATATATGTAAATTGTAATGTCGTGATGGAATTATAGGATTGCATATAGCAGGAATTCATTGTTACATGTTATATTATGCCTCACTAAGTCTGTGACTTAGCGTGTGAGGGTTTCACACGTAGGTACCAAGAATCAGGAAGACCAGAGTTTAAGTTTAGGAATGCAGCAAATCCTTTGAAGACGATTAGATCAGAAGTGATTTAAAAACCGTATGTCATTTTGTTGTAACAATTATGCTGGCATGTAATTACAGTTTAAATCATATATGCTCTGATCGATTTTGTAATCATTCTGATGATATTTATGTAAATTATTGCACTGTGGTTTTAATAAAATTTTAAATTTTATGAGATTTTGTAAAAGTAAACGTTTTAATAAGTCAATGTGACACCTCAGATTCATACTCGAGTCGAGTACGGGTTGGGGGTGTTACATATGGCTTAGGTAGGTTCACCCCTAGATACGTCCTTACTGGCGGTTGATTTTGTTTCGTTGAACTTCTTGTTCTTTTTCCATTCTTTATCAAGAAAGACTTTGATGAAAAAATCGTCCATCTTCCTCCCGTTGCCTCTAGGGGTGTTCAAACGGTTAAAACGACCACCGACCGAATCGAATTACCATTAACCAAATTAATCGAAATTTTTTTCTTTAACCGTTAACTGAACCGAACTTTTCTTTTGAAAATATTAATCGAACCGAATAAAATTTGGTTATTTCGGTCGGTTATCTGAACTAACCGAAGTTTTTTTTTATATTTTTCCTAATTAAACTAATTTGAATATAATAGAAGTATTTTTTAATTAGGGTTAAAATTTAATTAGGTATTAATAATTTAATGAGTCTAGTGTGGTTAATAAATAATTAGATCTTAATTCTTAATGGGTTTGAGCATAAAATATGTATTTAATATATATAGTATATTTACTATTTAATAATTTCGGTTAATTCGGTTAATTAACCGATTTCGTACCGAATTAATTATTAACCAAATATAAAAAAATATTAATTATTTCCTGACCGAACTAATTCGGTGGTCGGCCGAATTAACCGAAGTAATTTGGTTCGATCAGTCAATTCAATTAAAACCGAAAAATAAACACCCCTTGTTCCCTCTAGTGATTGCTTCCATCTCACTTCTTTGGTCTTCAAATCTAACAAAAGCGAAGGTGACCTTGCTCTTTCTCCTATTCTTATTCCAATATGCCATAAAAGTACATGTGACTCGACCGTATATCATGAAAGCTTCAGGTAATGCTGAAGGATGAATCCTCTTGTTAATGTTACTGAGAAACACTGAAAATCCACCATGCATCTTGGCTTCGTTCCTCTCCAAGTTTTTGGCAGACCGAAACTTGATACCCGGAAGACTGGTCGGAGTAGACCGACGAATACTGCTGACGACCTGAAGGGTAGTCAACAGCGAGATTTTTCTTCTTCCTGACTTTTCACCTTCTACGCACACTCCATATCTACCTAGTGAAGAAAATTTTAAAATTTAGAGTTAAGGAATTATTTTTAAATTAAAGTTTATATTTGGATTTAGATTCAGATATTCAAATCGGATACCTATTCTTTTGGATCGGATACATATTACAATTTTAATGATTCAAACTTTTAATTATCTAAAGTTTTGAATTAGATAATATTTGATATAGAAAATACGCACTCCGAATGTGTGTAATGCACGTTTAAGTATACTAAAATTTATATTTTTAAAATTTTACAATATATTAAAATTCATATATTTCTGATTTTTATAATAATAATTAAACTAAGATTCAATCAATAATGGTATATTAAGACATTATTTTTATAAATCTAGAGTAAATATAAGGTAATATTTGTTTAAAGATTCTCAACTAATTGACAATAAACGCTCATACAATGTTTGAACTTAAAATCTCCCTTAACTACTGAAGTCGTTTAATTCGTATAATATATTAAGATATTTTTTTTGAATAATATAGGATAAATACATGTCAGTATTTGCTAAAAGATAATCCTCAATATTTCGACATTGATCGCTCACACCCCTGATATTTATGGTGTTCCAACCCGTGTTCTCAAAGAAAACAACAATTCATTTACGACGAAAGTCACTTTGATTCGTGCAATATATTAGGATAATTAAATTCAATTAATTTACTCAAATTGTATATTAAAACGTTTAAACTTGATTTAGAGAAGAGCCGAATTTAATTTGAAAATTTTCTTTTATCGGTCTATTTATTTGGGTTGTTTCATCATAGAAAAACCCTTTAATCTTGAATTTCAACCGTTCATAACAAAATATCGTTTGTTTGGTGGGACCCGCATGGTTGCTTAGCCCCGTCCCCTTTCCTTTTGTGCGAAGTGTTATATATCTGAACAAATTAACACCAATAAAGTTAAAGAAAGAAAGAAAGAAAAAGAATTAGAGCCGCAAATGGGGAAATCATCGCCTGTGAAGCAAGCGGCGGTAGTTGTAGGGGCAATAGCTTTTGGGTGGATGGCCATAGAGATGGCCTTTAAGCCTCTATTGGACAAGGCCCGTGCCTCCACAGACAAAACCGACCCTGGCCGCGATCTCGATGACGTCGCCGCTGCGTCCAAAGACGATTCCAGCGCCGCCTCCGCCTCCGCCGAGGCTTCTGATAGGAAGCCTGTTTCTTACGCCGATGCCGTTGCCAAAAACGCAGCTGGAGCAAGTTAGGAACAAAACATCCGGGAGTAGGTTACTTTTTTTTTATGGTTGATGTTTTGGATAATTATTTTCCAGATCTTGATGTTTTCTAGCTTAGCTTCAAGAAGTGATATTAGAGTAGCAGCTTTCTGTTTCTAGAACATGAGATAAAATCATTACCTTTTGCATTTCAAATCAGAATCGAAGCAGAAGCCAGTGTGCTTCTAGTTGATAGAACTGAGAAATTGTCTCTCTTTTTTTCTGGAAACAAATTTGAATGCGGTGCCCTAGTTATCAATACCAAAGATTTTCTTTTGGGAGAAAATGATTATAAAATATTCCCTGAAGGTATGAAATTCGAATTCAATTCCACTTAGATTAATATTTCTTTATAATAATTTTTCTAATGTATCCTCTAATTATGTCAACAATCAACAAGAAAGAGATGCAATTGAGACGATGTTTTGAATATAAGATTTGGTTTGGTTAAAATATCAAATTGAATTGAAGTTGAAGGTAAATATAGGAAGAATCTCTAGTTTGGGCCCAAGAAGCAGGAAGCCGATGGGTTAATTGAAAAATTGTTTGAAACGCTGAGGGATATCCCTATCCATAATTATATTGGAGAAGACGATATCAAAGATGCTATGGGAAAATTTTGCATAAAAAGTTTTTTAATTGGCGAATTCTTCATTTTCGTCTTAGAAATAAGGCCGGTATCGAGTCCTGAGTCGATACCAGTACCAAGAGTAACACAAATATTATGACTGCTGTTAATATTTTTATTAACCAAATAATTAATAAAATTGACCTTTTTTATTTCATAATTTATCAAGATCAAGAAAGCAACCATCCCATCAAAAAGGAAGAAGAAACTAATGAGACTTATTATATGAGTTGAGTGGGAGCTTAATCAAAAATGTTAAACATCCAATGAAAAAGTGATTTTCATTTCATAAGTAATGCAAAATATCAACAACAAAAAATCAACGAGCGTACAGTATTCTTCATGAATAAATCATGTACAATGTATTGACTAATTGACTAATGTTTATATGTGATGTGATTAATTAAATATAATACATATTCTTAAAAAACAAAGTGCATTGTATTACATAGTATTAGTTTAGAAGGGTGAAAATGATACAATACCTTCGGGAAGCACTCATAACAAAAACATCTCTTCACAATTTTTGTTGTAATATGAGAACGTAACACTAAAACTTTTGGAAGCAATAAAAAAAGAAGTTAGAGATGAAATACAACTAGATTTACTTTTTATGAAGAATCAAACAACAATAAAATTATTTTTTACTATGTTGAACTAGTTATATTTTTAATTAGAGGCGATCGAGTCATTTGGATCGGGTTTGGATCAGGTCATTTCGGGTTAGGCTGTATTTGGTTTAGGTTCAGTTCGGATCAAATCAGATCTGGTTCGGGTTTAGTTCGGGTCTATATAAATTTAGTCCGGGTCGGGTCAAAATCGGATCGATTGATTTTCGGGTCGGGTCAAAATCGGATCGGTTGGCTTTCAGTTGGGATTAATTTCGAGTCGAGTCAATATCGGATCGATTAGTTTCGGTTCATGTCAATTCATATTTGTTTCGGTTCAAGTCAACTTTTAGATTTTCAAACCAATTTGGGTTGGTTTCGGTTCGAGTTAATTGACATCGTTCTTTGTCATCATAATCATTAGTGTTACTCTTTATTACTTGTAATTCAGGAATTTTATATGACAATATATTGTCAAATCCTAAATTTGAGGCTAAAAGTTTCAGTTTAAATCAAATAATCAATCGGATCAATAAATCTTTAACATTTAAAATTGAAGATTAAATTGAAAATTTTGGAAGTATAAGAATAACTTTATAAATCCTAATAAATTTTAGGATTGATTGTAACATTATCCCTCAATAGGTTTTTTACTTTTACTATGACTGATTATCATGTATCACATTTATATATATGTGTTTAGAATCCATTTACATAATGTAAAACTTTTTAGTTTTAAACAGATTTAGGACTGTTGGATAAGAGAAATCAAAAGCTGAGATTAACTTCTTGTTTCTTTTTCCAAGTGATAATCTTTAAATTTGTTATTTTTAATCTCAGCCATATTTTCACTCATCCAACGATCCTAAATCTGTGTAAAACTAAAAGAGTTTTAGATTGTGTAACTGGATCCAACCCCATATATATAGAATTTCATTAAATCCTTGGTCTCCAATTCTAAATTGTAGATTTACAATCCCTAGTTTCTTTTTTTTAATGCACAATCCCTAGTTTCTCAATTCTCATGCACGGTCGCGCCTGATGCCGAGCATTTTTCTCAGTCTCACTCGTTGTTCTGGTGCTCTCATCGTCTCTCACTGTCACTAGTCACAAGCAGCCAAAGACTTAGAGCCATCCAACGTCATTACATCAGGTACTTTCTTAGTTTTAGCCTTCGCTACCATCATCAATCTTGAATCAATTTTGAATCAATCGGTTCCAATGTTGATTTGTGATTTATGCCGCTGGTTTTTGTTGTTTCTTTTCTTTATTGTTCTGTTGAGAGATGGTTGTGATTTTGTTATGCCGTAGTCGGTTCCCTCATAGCTTCGTTAAGATTTTGATTGTGTGTTTTGATATTTTGTGTTTGTCTTTGACATGCATGTGAGGTTTAAGTTGATACTAATAATATTTTTCTTTGTTTTGACAGCCATGAGATCAAATGATAATACTTCTGAGGTTCAACTTGATACCAAGATTGTTCTTGTACCGGGTTCACAACCGGAATCACAATGTTTTTCTAAGAGACGAAGTTAGGTTTGGACACATTTTCTCAGTCTTGATCCAATAGAAACTAAGGATGAAAAAGAAAGGACACTTTGCAGACATTGTAAAACTGCTTCCTTCGTTTCTAACTCACATTATGGAACATCTAATATGCAAAAACATCTTATCAAATGTAAAAACTATTTTGCATATAAAGCTAGTTTGAGAACAGAGGGAGAAGGATCAGAAGATAATGTTTATGACCAAAAGGTTTACAGAGCCTTGGTTGCTAGAATAATTATAAAGCATGAATATGCTTTTTCTTGGATTGAACATGAAGGTAATAGAAAAATTAATGCATATTTAAACAATCAAGTTAGACGTATATGTAGAAACACTGCAAAAGCTGATTTGAAATTGCATAAAATTTTGAAAAATAATTTAAAGGAGATTCTTCGTAATGTTTCTGGTCGAATTTCTTTTACATGTGATATGTGGACATCTTGTCAAACTAAGGGATATTTTTGTTTGACCGCTTATTATGTAGATGCTAATTGGAAGTTAAATAGTAGAGTTTTGAACTTCTGTCATATTGATTCACTGCACACTAGGAGTAATATGTATAGTATTTTACTAGACTTACTTCTGGATTGTGATATTAACTGTAATATTTTTTCCATCACATTGGACAATGCTTCTAATAATGATAAAATCCAAGCTCATTTAAAGGATACTTTTAATGCTCGAGGGACATTATATGGAGGGGTTTACTTTCATGTTCGATGTGCTACACATGTGTTGAATCTCATTGTTAAGGATGGACTTAAGGTCATTGAACATATTGTTGTCAAGATAAGAGATTGTGTGAAGTATACTAGATGGTTAGGATCAAGAAAAAATACTTTTCGACGTAGTGTGAAATTAGCAAAGATAGAAGAAACTAAAGGGTTGTGGCTTGATGTCGCTACAAGATGGAACTCTACATATATGATGCTTGATAGGGCTATTTTATATCGTGGAACTTTTAAGCAGATGGTTGTTGTTAATCCTTCTTTCCATCATTGTCCAGACATTGAAGAGTGGAAAATGCTTGAGAACATTCGAGATATTTTAGTACCAATTTTGGATATAACCGAGTTACATTTAGGAAGTGATTATCCTAATGCAAATTTGTACTTTGGGAATGTTTGAAAATTTTTATACATTTGAGATTGTTGAGGAGAAGTAGTGATGCAGTTTTGAAAAACAATGGCAATAGAAATGAATAAAAAGTTCGATAACTATTGATTCAACTCAAGTGAGGATGATTATGGCACATTATTTACCTTTGCAGTGATTCTTGATCCTCGTTATAAGTTATCTTTTCTGAAGTATTGTTATGAAAACTTATTTGAGAATGAAATAGAAGTTAATTTGAAGATTGGTGATGTCAAATTTAAGTTAGAGATGTTTTTAAAGAATATATTACAGAAACACATGGCTCACATGAAACATCATTAGAATTGAGCTCAAACTCAAATATTTTGAGTACATTATCTGGAAATCACAAGCGTAAATTTGATCTGTCTCGCGTAAGTTTCTTTCTTTTTTAATTTTTAATTGTTTTCATTTCTTCCTTATTTTGTTATTTTTTTATTTTTGTTTTTAATTTCATGTATTTTTTATTATCTATTTTAACATGTATTTTCTTTTTTACTTTCCAGATTTATTGAATTTTATTTTTTACGCATTTGTTGTATCTTATCTTTTATAAATTATTTTTTATATATTTGATTTTTTGTATTCTTGTTCTTATTTTTTCATTTTTTGTCTTGCTATTTTACTATGTTCTCTATACTTTGTTTTTATTTTGTTTACAATTTTGTATTCTTTTTCTAATTTTTAATAATTTAAATTTTATTTATATATTTTTTATTTATCCTTTTATTTTTCATTCTCTCTTTTATATTTTTCTAGGATTTTGACAAGAAAGAGACCATATTTTCTTATTACAAAAAAACACAATTGTTTATTTAGAGATCCTAAAATGAATAGAAAAGCGGAGTTGGACGTCCTTGATTTTTGGAAAGAAAATGAACATCAACATTGAAAGCTTTCTCTTCTTGTTCGAGATATATTATTGTGCCTCTCACAATTGTTGCATCAGAATCAAGGTAGAATTTTAAATAAGTGGACAAGTTTTTATATCCCTGATAATGTGGAAGCTTTGATAACATCTCGTCGTAGCTGGTTGTTCGGTTATAAATATAAGTTTTTTATTATTTCTATTTCTTTTTCTTTTCTACAATAAAAATATTTTATTACATTATCTTCTTCAATCACTAGTTTATTACGTATGTTTCTTTTAAATTGAAATTTACATTGCTTAGTTTCGTCTTTCTGTAATAATTTAAATAAATTAATAACTTGAGTTTAACTTTGTGAGACAAATTTTTTTTTAAGTTTTAATAAGAAATTATTTTTTTTTTAAAAATATAATTTAGTTTGACATGCAATAATATTTAAGTGTTAATATTTGACTTGGTTTGTATTTTTTATCAGTTTTGAATGAGAGTTCTTTATTTAATACTTGTATTTAAAATTTATTTTCTTTTAAAGTTAACTATAGTCAATCGTCTAAATAATGTAAATCAAAATTATCACATACATTAGAATTTTTAGTTTGAGTAATTTTATTTTATAATCCTTAGTATCAAATAAATGTTTTGAAATAAATTAGAAATTATTGCATCAGATATAAAGATGAGTTTTGAACTGAATAAAGATTATATTAAAATTTTAAATTATTACTAGAAGTATTATCATTTGATCTTATGTGATGATTACTAGTAGTAAATGAGAATAAATATTAAATCAATTTATTATTTTTTAATGTTAAAAATAGATGATAATAATATTATAAATAAATGATTCATTCACTTAGAATCAGTTATTGGGTTAAATTCGGGTTGAAGTTTGATTCGGTTTCGATATGGATAAATCATATTCGGGTTACTTTCATTTCGAGTTACTTTTGATTGGGGTTACTTTCGATTGGGGTTATTTCGGTTCTAGTTACTTTCGGTTTGATTGCTTTTGGTTCATGTTAATTTTGTTTTAGTTTACTTTCGGTCAAACTAAAATTCAGATCGATTTCAATTCGATTCGATTTATTTCGGGTTTCAAATCAATTTGGGTCATTATGTTCAGGTTTATATCGATTCTTGGATCGGGTAAATCGTTTTGGGTAATCAGGTACGAGTCAAATTTGTCAGGTCTATTTTTAATTTGATAGAAATTTTAATTTGTAATATTGAAGGGACCATAAATTTATATAAGAGTCTTTCAAAAAAATATTATCTTAATAGTTTATCAAAATTATTAATTTAAACCTTAAGTCTAAATTGGAACCAAAAAAAATTATTATTTTAAAAATTATTGATTTATCGAAGATTAATTTATGAAAGTTTTATTATAATTTTTTTTTTATAGTTAAGCTATTAGCTTCTCGATTTACTCTCTTTGTTTCCATCATAAGTGAATAAAACTGTTTTTTTAGCACACGGGCAAACATGCTAAAATATTAGCCATATACCAGCTAAGAAAACTTTATTTAGGAATATATGACAAATGCTACAATATTCGTTGAACCCGTCATGCTAACATGACAAGTTTCACAAGAAATTATATACCAGCTAAGAAAACTTTATTTAGGAATATATGGCAAATGCTACAATATTCGTTGAACTCGTCATGCTAACATGACAAGTTTCATAAGAAATTATATTTTATTGGATCCAGACGTTAGGTTTAGTAATTTAATATTTCTCATGAAACTCGTTATGTCTACTTGATGAGTTTCATTTAAATAATTTTTAATTTAGATTGTTTTTTATTTTCAAAATATGTTAGGAAAAATCATACAACTCGTCATGCTGAAGTAACGAGTTTCAACAGTCATATTTATAATTTTTAGAGTAAAATATATAAATAGTCCCCGAACTTTTAGGATACTTGTGTTTTGGTTACTCAACTTTTAAAACTTATGATACAATCATCAAACTTTTAGCTCGTTTTCATTTTTGTCTCTGCCGTTACCTCCATTAGATTTTCGCTGATGTGGTAACGCCCATTAACCCACCCCCTCCTCCTCCTTTGAAAACCCTAACTTCCAAAAAATCAAAACGCCCAGAAATCATAACCCCATTGAAAATAAAAAAAACCCAAGATGAATTGAAAATCATAACCCTGTTTTATTGCTCATAAGATTAATAGCTTATTTCTCAGGGAAGATATCATATATTACCTTGATTAATTTGTGAAGCTGCCACCAACACGAATGCTCATTCTCACTGTTGTATGCGGACTTTGCCTGTTGTTCATCCATTTACATATAAACCTCAGTATGATGAAGTTGTCTTCTGCAGTTTGAATTACTTTAACTCCATTATGATGCGAGAATTTATCAAGAAAGATGGTATTCTTCCATGTAGAATTCTAAAATTCATGTCTTTGTATACTTTTTCTCTGATAATACATGCACCCGGTTGGGGTACCGTATTCTAAATTTTACCCGATCAGCCATAATAATGATCGATATGCTCCATTTATAGCTTTAAACATTCTGCACTTTTCAGCATTGCTATCCTGCTACAAGCTTTTTTTCTGCTGGCACTTGGCAAAATAGACTCTTATGCCAACAACACATCATTGTTTGACACGCGATTTGTGGACATATGCCAAGGGGAAATTGAGCTGTATTTTGATTTTTTGTTCTTAAATTCGATGCAGTTTTACACATTTCTTGAGACAATACTTGTCTGCTTATTGCTACTGCGGGTTTTTATTGAGTTCTTTAATGATGGTGAGATAGATGAAACGCCAGGAACACTTGCAGCTACTTTTATCACATTTGGTAAGTGTCTTAAGGGTTTAAGCATCTTCCATTTAATTAGTTTGTCGATATCTTTAACGAATCGTAATCCGAACGTTTCAGTTTTGAACTTAGCATTTGCGCTGAGTATTATGGGCTTTCTGATTATGCACATAGCATTGGTTGGAGCCAATACCACCACTATTGAGGTAATCTCTTGCATAATCATGTTTCTCGTCGTTGCCGAAGTAATAAGTAAAAGTCTCATTGTTTCGTGTTTTAATTCCAGGCATATGAAAAGAAAACCAGTCCTAACTGGAGTTACGAAAACCACTATTGAGGTAATCTCTTGCATAATCATGATGGTTGGAAGAAGAATTTTCAACAGGTTAATTTTTTTTCCTTTCTTTCTGCGTCGATAATTATCCGATGTTTGTGTGTTTCATCATTCTCTGGGTGTCTTTTCGATTACTTGTGTATCATACGTAAAGATGTTAAGCATTGAATAAATATCGAAAAGAATATGGTGAAGGAAATCCTAAAAATTGTAAATTCCATGTAACTGCTTGAGCACTAAAAGATCGGGATTTTGAACATTTGCCTTTCTGACGAAATTCCTCAAGGTGATCTGTCTCCTGCTCGACACTTGAACATATCAAATATTGGAACTGTAGTTGAATCTTCATCTTCGGGCCTCGTACACGTTGCTCGACCATACCGTGTTTACTTAGGTAGATATATATACTTCCCTTTACTCGTTAGCTTCATTAATCCGCCACTCGTAGCATTGGTCCGACAATGAGAAGGATTTAAGGATGCATAAATGCACATCTCACCATTGCCGCAATGGACTATGAACTATGAACATTTGTGCAATAAGTTCATCTATAGTTATGTCCTCGAGAAAATTATAGATTCCAAATGAAAACTTTACCCGAAATGATTCAACTCTTTTTGTGAATAGACGTTTGGATTAGAGAAGAAGTTCTCGTTCATCCCGGCCAATTCCGAAGAAGATTTTTCTTTTTATTTTTTGGAGATTAGAGTTTTCGAAGGTAGAAGAAGAAGGACATGGTGGGTAACTAGGGGTATTGATTTTTGGAGGTTACGGTTTTCAAAGGTAGAAGGAGGAGAGGGTAGGTTAACGAGTGTTACCTGCCACACTAGCAAAAATCTAACAGAGGTAATGCTAGGGACAGAAATAAAAACGAACTAAAAGTTCGATGACTGTATTACAAGTTTTAAAAGTTAGGTCACCAAAATGCAAATGTCTTAAAAGTTTAGGAACTATTTATATACTTTACACTAATTTTTATTAAATACAAAATATAAAGTTACCCACACATTATAAACATTAACTCATACATTACATTAGAAACTTTAACTCATACATTATATTATAATACAATAGAAGCATTAAGTTACCCACACATAGAGGTGCACAAAAAATCCGTATATCCGATTTTGCGCAAAAAATATCCAAAACCGGATTTGGGAAAAACCGTTTTTTTTAAACCGAATAAGATATTTTAAAACTGGATAGTAAAACCGGTTTGGGAAAAAATTAGACGACTGATTTTTTTATTGGATTAAAAACCGGTTTGAAAAAACCGGTTTTTAATCCAAAAAAACGGTATGGGTTTAAAAAACTAGCCGTTAATATAGCCGTTGGGGGTTTTTTGTGACAGTTTTTTGACCGGTTTTTTTCTAAAAAAATTACAATTTTACCATCTAAACATGTATAAATAGGTTGGGGATGTATTTGGTTGATTACAACTCTCTCAAATCTTATTACACAACACCTAAACATCTCACAAATCTTATTTTTGTAATTTTTTGTTCATCATGAGTAACACGACTGAATCTTCTGTCGAGGGAAACCTTGAAGTCGTGAGAGTGATCGAACACACTCGAAACAAATATATTTTGGATCACTACGATTTATGTGAGATGTCAAATGGCTCGAGGAGGGCGCGTTGTAAACTTTGTCTAAAGTTGCTTGCACCGGAAGGAAACACAACGTTGAAGAACCATTTGACAAAATCATGCAAGGCACTTCGCTCAAGATCGGATCTAAGTCAATCGAATCTTACACCGCAAGGTGGTGTTTTTGTTTACGACAACGAAAAATTACGAGAAGCGTTTACAAAGTTCGTGATTACAAAAGCATTGTCGTTCGACCACTTTGATGATGAAGATTTCACGGCAACAATTCAACAACTAATGCAACCACGTTATACTCAAGTAAATCGTACTACCCTTAGAAGAGATGCTATAAAAATGTGGCGTACGGCGAGGGAAAAATGATTTTAGGATTCCAAGAATACCGCTATGGTGTGTCGCTTACATGTGACGTTTGGAGTTCCCCTCATAATACCAGAAATTATTTTTTAGCCGTTACGACACATTGGTTAGATCAAGATAATTGGCAAATGATGAAAAGAACAATCGCGTTTGAATTATTTGGTGAGCCGTATACCAGTGCTAATTTATTTACACTTTTAAAAAGGGTAATTTGTCTTTATAAATTAGAAAATAAAGTTTTTTTCTATATTCTTTGATAATGCATCGAATAATACAAACACGGTTCCAAGATTGAAAATATTACTTTCACCGATTTTAGACGGTGCATTTTTTCATACCCGTTGCGTTTCACACATAATTAATTTATCCGTGCAAGCCGGTTTGGAGGTTATTGAGACGATTAGATTAGAATTTAAAGCAATGATAAAATCGGCTCTTTGTAACAACAACAAAAGACTAAATGATTATAAACGATTTTGTAAGTCGGTTAATAAAAAAACTTTGGGTCCTAATTTGGATTGTCCAACTCGTTGGAACTCAACTTGGATGATGATGCATACTGCCTTAAGGCCAAGGGAAACATTGCAAACATTTCACGATCGAATTTTCTAGAGGGGCCATGTCCCAAACATTTATTCGGATTCGAGTTGGGAAACTATAGCCAAAATAACCGATTTGCTTGGGGTTTTTAAAAATGCAACAACTTTTTTATCCGGTGTTTATTACCCTACTAGCTCGTTGATTATTAATCAAATATTTTTGCTGGCTACCCGATTAAATAACTTTGAATTTGAAACCGAAGTTTTTCAAGAAATTGGCTTTGCAATAAAGGAAAAACTTTTAAAATATTTTAAGGAGATTCCCCCCATTTTTACTTGTGCCGCCACTTTAAACCCAACGTTAAATGTTGGCGGGGTGAAACACTAATTGAACAAATTGCGTTTGCTTTTAACAAATGTTTTCGAGACATGTTTGCAATTTATTTAACTAAATACGGATCAAGTAGTGTAATACATGATCAAATGAGAACGAATGTGGAATCATCTAGTAGACGTCCAAGTAACATAAATTTGTCACTTTTTAACACTCTTGTAAATTCCCAATCCAAACGATCACGTACTACCACCCCAAGTAGCGAGTTGGGAAATTACATGTCATGCGATTTTCTATCAAAAATGACATTTGAAGAGTTTGAAAGTTTGGATCTTTTGGCTTGGTGGAAAGAAAAGGAAGCACAATTTCCGATTCTAGCCGCCATGGCCCGTGATTTACTAACCGTCCAAGCTTCTAAGGTAGCTTCGGAATCCACTTTTTCTGTTAGTGGCAGGGTTATATCGCAACGAAGATCAAGACTAAGTCTCGAGCCGGTGGAAGTATGCATTTGTTTGAAGGATTATTTGGATGGAGCGGCTCGGAAGCAACATATCACCACCCTAGAAGATGCAATTGATGCCGATTTGGAAGCAAACTTACACATTAAAGAAGTCGAACTTGGAATATCCCCTCCAAACGAAGAAGGAGAAGATGATGAAGAAGAGATGGCGATGTAGTTTATTTTTAAACTTTATTTCAATTATCGTAAACTTTGTTTCAATTATCGAACTTGGAAGTTTTTAAGTATTTGAATTTATCGAACTTGGAAGTATTTAAGTATTTCAATTATCGTAAATTTTGTTGCAATTGATGGCGATGTAATTTTAATAATATAAAAACCAGTTTTTTTCAAACCGAAACCGGTTACACCATCCGACCCTCTAAACCAGTTTTTTGGCTAGGTGAAAAAACCGGATCGGTTTTTATCTGATCCGGATCAGGTTTAAATCCGACTTTGTGCATGTCTACCCACACATCTTAGTCTTCATAGTCACTTGACTCGTCAGATGTTAAGTTAAATTCTTCAATCCTCCATTCTTTCTCTTGTTTCCTTCTAGATATAAATAGTTCAAGTTCTTGAAGTTTAGCTTCTCTATTGTCAGATACTTTAGGAGATTTTGTTTTGATGTGGAAGGAGTTACGACTTGCTTACTTGACAAATAAGTCAACATTACTCATTGAATTGGTAATGTATGTGTCAATCGTTGTTTTTGTAGCATCATTGTTCTGATAACCCTTTGATGAATGTTGTGAAACCAAAGAGGTAGGAACCCTTAATTATAGTAAAAAAATGTTGAATATTCATTAGCTCTAACCTTGTTTGAAATTTCCATCATCAAGTCGAAAGGTCGAATGTTTCCTCGAAGGAGATAATGAAAGATTTTTTTTCCTCATAATAAATTGTTGCCATGAAAATTTTCAGAATATGAACTTGAACAATAAAAAAGTAATGCCTATATATCGCACTCAAAAAGTAATGATGAATTGTGATAGGATATGATGAATTATTAAATATGGTTAAAAACATCATTCAATTGAGTGATATATCACTAAAATGAAGTGATATATCACTAAAACGTTTTTGAAATGAAGTGACCGGGAACTAAAATGTTTTTTGTCATTATATATTAAATGGTCTATGAGAAAAAGAACTTTTTCATTAAAGGGAAACAAGTCAAAAACATCATTTAGTGGTATGATATATCACTAAAAGGTTTTTGAAATGAAGTGATTGAGCATTAAAAAGTTTTTTGTCATTTTGTATTAAATGGTTTATAAGAAAATGACATTTTTCATTAAAGGGAAACAAGTCAAAAACATTATTCAATGGTATGATATATCACTGAATTGAAGTGATATATCAATGAAAACTTTCTGAAATAAAGTGATTGGACACAAAAAAGTTTGTCATTGTGCATTAAATGGTCAATGAGAAAATGACATTTTTCATTAAAGGGAAACAAGTTAAAAACATCATTTTTCGTTAATGATAACTTCTTTTTATTGATATTAAGGAGGATACCAGATATATATGTAACCCACTGGAGTACCTCGTCCAACATCAGATCAACATAGTTTGTAGTTGGGTCCCGGTTTGAAACTAAGAAGGATGCCCAACTAGCAGCCAAGGAGTTATGTATCAAAGCCCT